CTGTAAACTGCGAAAATTAAGTCTCAAAATCCAAATGAACCAAAAAAGATCGACTCCAACTAGACGTCAATTAATGCACGTGTGTCACCTGATCCACATATGCCCAGATTCCTTTTTGCATGAGCAATTTATGATATATTAATGCAGAACAGAACATTTTTATTCACAAACATGTCTGTATTTGTACAAATCGCTGCACAATCATTTAATCCTGAATTCCACAGACTCAAATTGAAAGGCATTTGTTTGTGGTTAGTAAGATACATGTATAAAATGTATGCAGTGCATGGATAATTGTGCGTGCACCTATTCATCATTTTGAGTCTAATATCATCCCATATGCACCCCCCATCCCACATCCCACACACTTGCTTCTTCTTGCTTCCTCCCTCCCTCGCAGTCATGGCAGGACAAACTACTACTACTATTGTGACAACCCAGCATGTCTCCTCTGGTACCTGGACTACAGGCATCTGTGACTGCTGTTCTGATATGAGCACTTGTAAGTCACCTACTGACCCATGAACTCTCGGTTCCCTTTTCTTTATTCCAACTTGTTTGAATGTGAAATCCTACCTGATCCCAAACCTGTTTTGATGTTATGAAATCAGAAAATGAAAAAAAAAATATATATATATAATAATAAAAAAAGTATTGATGTAGGACGAATTTATGAGATCGTCTACTTGACTTTAGTGCAGCTTTTATTTCTTAACCACAGTTTTTTTATGGCTTTTCTATGATAAGATGCAGGCAAATGTAGAACAATGACACACACACACTTTAGAAAGTGCTCAAATGCAGCACCAGCAAGATCTGTTCAACCTCACCCTTACGAAAAAGAAGTTTATTCAAGTGTGCTATTAGTATACTTCTTTTAAACTAAAAATAGGAAAGTATACTTTGAGTCTACTTTTTATGTACTTCTCAGAAATGGGCTTTATGTACTTCTCAGAAATATACTTAAAATGACATTTAAGTATACTTGACTTATACTTAGAAAAAGTCTAAATATATTTTAGCTATAATTGTGCTCCTAGAATCCGTGTTTTCATTGTTATACTGTAGGGGGCGCTAGTACACATCTTCTGTACAGAATTTCCAAAAAACACAAGTGAAGAAGAAACCGAAACAACCAAGTATACTACTTTTTGGTAAGGGCAACTTTGGACGAAGGTGTAGAAGAAATCCTCTTTAAATTTACTGCAGGCCCAGAACTAAAACAACCCTCATGTGTGTTTCAGGTGCCCTTTGGTGTTTCCCCTGTATGCAGTGTCAGACTGTATCTCAGTTTTGCTGGTGTTTCTGCATGCCATTGCTGGGCTGCTGCATGGTGGTATCTTGCTGTCTGCGTCAGAAAATGAGAGAGCAATATAACATTCATGTGAGTTCACACACACACACACACGCACACGCACACGCACACACATACAATTGAGAGAAGGGTGATTTATAGAAGAAAGACTTAATAGACTGGTGCTAGTGTCCACACAGAGGAGGTGAAACAATATATATACCGCTTGTAGCTTCCTGTTTCTTTGCCGTTTCTGATGAATTTTGGGTGTTTCTGATGCTCTGTATTCACATGTTCCTGACACACACAAACAAAATCTGTAAAACGTTGTGTAAAATTAGCCATGTATTCTGAAAGTAAATGTTTCTGCAATCACCATAGAAACCACACATATTTCATTATATTACAAAGATTTTTTGGGAGGGTTCTTAAAAGCATGACTTTAGTAAAGGACTGTGTATGTTCTCCAAACAGCATTGTCATTATAATTTTGCATTTATGGCTCAGGTGTTTGGCTGCATGTGTACAATCTTAAAGGGAGAGTTCAGCAGTAAATTAAAATCTTGTCATCATTTACTCACCCTCATATTGTTCCAAATGATGACTTGTCATCTGTGAAAGTCACCTTTATTTATAAAGCGCTTTTAACAATACAGATTGTGTCAAAGCAACTGTACAGCATTAATTAAGGGGAACTCATATTAATGTTAAAAAACCTCATAAAGTGAAATTTTCATGCCATGGGACCTTTAAGAAAAAATTACAGTCTTTATCTGAGTGAATACATGACGCACTGATAAACTGGGGCCGGATTCATGAAAATCTTCTTAAGAAATAAGTTAAGAAATTTCTTAAAGGTGACATATCATGAAAATCTGACTTTTCCAGGTTTTAAGTAAGCTGGGGCCGGATTCACAAAAATCTTCTTAAGATATTTCTTAAAGGGGTCATTGGCCAGCTGACCCAGTGCATTGTGATTGGCCAATTAGTTTTACCATCAGTTCAAGCCCGAAAGGGGAACTGAGTCGCGTGACACACCGTGATGATGCTGGTATGTGTTTGCAGTACACAAGCCATGGTTAAGACAGCTGACTCCACTGTGATGTGACCCTGTCTCTC